TACCAAGACTGCCTGTGATAGAACCCTAAAAGCAGATGGTGGAACTGGAATCTTCTCATGGGAACCAGTTGGTTAATAAGCACCTGTATGGGCTCTGCTAGTTCACCTGTGCTTATTGCTGCTGGTGGTGAAGGGGAAATAGAACATCAGTCTGAAAACATTCCCAGAGCTGAGAGCCTCTCCTTCAAAGGGCTAGAGCCACAGAGCAGGAACTGGTGCTGCTTTCAGGGCCTCTTAATGCCTTATTTTGTGTTCAGTCCCTTGCTGCTCTCTATCCATTTAGGCACATCTGAGTGTCACAGTAAAGAAAGCTCTTTGTGGTTGTTCCTGCTTTTCCAGCTGGCTGATGTGCTGCAGGTTTTTCTCTGCTTTGGTGCTGCAGTGGCTCTGTTGTGCCCTGAGGACATGGTCAGCTCTAAAAGAGATGGTTGCTGATGCTGCCAAGCACCCCTCGGTGCTGAACCCATCCCACTTGCATCTCATTGCTGCACTGAAAGAACTGATCACAGCAGGTAAGCAGCCTTTCAACCAGCTTTGTGAGTTCAGGATGCATTTGGAAGATGGCTTCAGTGTTGACAGTGGCCATACAAGTGTTTAGATACCCAGGCACTGAACAGCTGAAGCTCTCACTAATTTTCTGTGGAGTAATGAGCACTTGGGGCTTCTGAAAAACCCATTAATTAACCTGTCTGACACTTTAAACAACCTGTGCCTTGACCTGAGGGTACAGCTATACCAGTAAATACACCTTGCTAGCCCTCAGAGCAAACAGCGTGACCCAGCCTATGTCCCTACAGCTGAGAACTCTTCACCCCTCAACCAAGGTGGCTTTACTCATGTCTGACCACAGCCTGAAAGCAAGCTGGCACAAGCCAAATCCATGCCAGGGAGTGTGCTCAGCACAAAACCAGCATTGGATCATCCCTGGACAACGTGCAGGCCCTGGCCATGTTCAGCACATGTTCTTGAAGATAAGGATGGGCTGTGTGGAATCTGTATGCTGCAAACCCCTCTATCCATAAGCAGCATGAGAAGCACAGGTTGGACATGGCCACGTTTCAGCAATAGACCATAGGAAAAATCTCACTGTCTTCTTGCTTTCTGAATTCTTGGGAAGGAAAAGACCTTACTCTCAGCTGGAGAAGTAAGGGCTGGCATGGGAGCAACTCAGCTACTACAACAGCACCATCCCAGAGCATCTGGGGTTGATCCCAGCTTGCCATTTCATGGGCATGGTGGGCAGATAAGATGCCGAAAAAGCAACAAGTGGCTTAGCTGCACCCCACTGGCACTGTCAGCATTGGCTCTCCTGCTCTTCTGCCCTACTTCCCTATTGTGTGGGCTCCTTACTGCTCCCTCCTTCAGGCCCTTAGCAGGAAGGGATGGCTGATCTTGCCAGATGGCTCACATGCATGTGCACCCGGAGCAATGGCGGGTGTTACCCAGGAGGAGAAATCATGTGGATAAGAAGGGAAAATGCATCCTTGGTCTCTCAGTGCTCCCAAAAGCAGCCTGCAGTGAGGGCTGCATCGCTGCAGCACTGCTGGCTTTATCACAGCCAAATGCCAGCAGCCGAGTTATCTCCATTTTGAGCTGTATGATAAGCTTTTCTGTGACTGCATCGTTTTGATTGAATGTTCCCTGGGACTGGTTCGATTTCCTACTGACAACAGGCCCAAGCTGGAGCTTGGAGTCTTCTAATGAGGTCAAAAGGCTACCACAAAATTTAGAGCAAATGAGAGAAAAGAAACATCGGTGACAGGTCACTTACAATTTGAAAGAGCAAGAGCCAGCCTCCCTGGCAGGCTGCCCTTTTCTATCTGTAATCTGTCCTACAGTGTGGATGGGAGATAACTCACTGGTGGATCCCTCCCCTGGACTGATAAAAGCGGGTTTAATTTACAAGTGTGTTGGCTTGGCTCTGCAGAGCAGTATTAGAATGATGACTCCGCTCATGCTCAGTGCACTTTCATACCCTGTTTATAAGCTTTAAAAGAAGGAGCTGAGGGTTCATTGTGCTTTCAATGAAGAAGAAGAAAAATGGCACGTGTCTTGAAGTTTCCCTTGGTTTAATACCCATTTTGTTCTGATGCGTTGCCTTCAATCAAAACCAATGTGTAGTTTTCCTGGGGTTAACCTCTTGTTTTCTTAGACTATAAAAAGGAAAAGAAAATTATCACCTCTATAGAATGGAAAGCAGGGGCAAAAAGAGGGCAAGAGACCTGTTGTGCAGAGCTGGAGAAAGATCACATCGCTGATGATGAGAGTACTAATTTGATCACAAGTCCTGTAACTTTGAGGGCAGATTAGCTAATGATGCAATTCGCTAAGAAAATGCCCACACTGCTGCTTCCAATGCGCTGGGCTAATCTGTCACTTGTTAAATATCTGTCTACCTACAGCTGGAATCAACATATAATTTAGAAAACCCTTTCTGTCTACTGATACCCTTTGAAGTCACAAAAAGACTTCACTGGCTCCTTCCCCAAGCCCCAGCGTTCAGGGCAGGGCAGGATGCTCTTTGTTCTCATCCCTATGCTAGTGTTTAATATGTATGTTAGAAAAATAGACATTTTTTAGTCTTATTTCCTGAAAGAAAACAACTGGCTTTTTCAATAAGGTTGTTCTGCCTCTCTGCCTGTCAGATCCTCCTTAAAGCCTTGTGCATCCTTTAGCTAGTGTTAACCATGCTTGCTGGAAGCGTTGAGCTCTTGGCAGTGATTGCGTTCACATGAGCTTTGTGGAGTTTAATCACAAAGAGAGGGGAGGCAGAAGACAGTGCCTCCTGGAAGGCAAAAATCCCTCTGGAAAGGTGGAAAAGCTGGGAGGGTCTGGGCAAAAACCAAAACAAACCCCAAAACAATGAGACCCCATGGGCTCAGCATAGTGTTCATGGGTGGTTGGTACCCTTGCACTTGAATGAGAAGGACCCACCAGTAAGCACAGCCTGGCCTATTGGTGGGACATCTCCACCTACCTTTCCAGCCATACTAGATCTAAGAACCCATTAATGTTAGAAATTAGTCAAACCGAGGAAAAGATAAAACAGAAGTAATCCTTTTGTGTGACCCTGATAGCTTCAATTTCAGAGCTAGAAAAAGAGGGGGTTTGTACTTCTCTTTGAGGCCAGAGAGTTCTTTGTCTCAGTCTATGTCTCCTGCAGGACAGACTGACTGGAGGGAGGCAAAAAGTAGTTTTTATTCTTACTGTTTTGCATTTAACCATAATGAGAGGCAATATGAAGGAGGGTGGAGGCTCTTTGGTTTTGCTTGAAGCTTTCTGAAGGCTGCTAAAAACCCCCATAACTGGGGTTTCTAATTGGGCCAGGGAAACAAATGCCTCTGTGCTAATCCTATTAGAGAGTGAAGTTTAAACCTGGGTATCTGTCAGCATGAACCTGTTCCCCCAGGCCGTGGTAGTGCTGGCTTCTGAGCCAGGGCTTCCTGCTGTGTATAAAGTATTGTATCATTAAGCCTACAGGCAGAGCAAGGCTGCAGTAGCTTTTCCCATGGTGCTGCTGAGACCGGCTCCAAGCCATAGATGACACAATGGCAAACACAGCATCAGGTCACTAAGGTCAGCATCTCATCACTGCCAGCACTGGTATTAGTACAAGGAGAGAGCTTCACTATGTCCTCACCAGGGCCCTGCCTTGGACTGACTGCGAAGATGGAGCTGTACCATGCATGGCATCTCTCCTGCGCGTCATCACAGAGAGGACACAAAAACCCATTGAGGAAACTGCCATCTCCTGGTAAAGTTCTGCCTGGAAGCAACAGCATCAGCAGCCACTTTGAGAGACCACATTTGAGGTCCATCAGCTGCCCTTTGTCTTATGGGAATTGAAATGCACTGGATCTGGACTGATCCTGAGCAGAGTGCAGTAAAGAGAAAGGCAGTAACTTTCATTGCAGGCCAGATGAATGCAGGCAAAGGTGATTTTGGGAGCAGACGTGTCTAACAACTACTAGAATTGTATATCAACAGATTTCAAATATCTTCTTAAGTCCCAGTAGCCTGATTGAAAGTGGTATGTCTTTACCAGACCAGTTATGGACCTTCTGAAATGCGAGTTTCACTGTCTGCATCCAAATCCTGTGCTTCGAGTATGTTCCCTATTAAAGCAGATTGGGCCTTTGGGGAGGGAGAAGCTGCAGAGCATTTCCTAAAGCACTTCCTACTTGAATTTCATTCTAGAGAAAATATACCTGAAGGATGGTGCAGGAAGTAGGACTGAGACAAATTTGGGGTTGGTGGGTCAATTATACTTTCATAGTGTGCTTCTGAGGGACAGTGAGAATCACAGGAAGCACAAGTGATGAGCCCAAGGTAGCCTAAGTGTTTGATACAGAGGTTTCATCTTCAGAAACTCAAGGCATGAACATAAAGCCACTGTTAATTTGCTGACATCTTTTTATTTCAGAAACCCCTTTGAGCTGTTTTCTTCATTCATTTTGGGATGTGAGCTGGAAAAAAAAAAAGCCATTTGGGATAAACTGCCCATCTCCTTGGTAAGATAAGTGTCAGTTCAGACAAATGAAATCACCTCTCATCAGACAGGCCCTACAATGTTATGCCATAGCCTTTCTGCTGCCACCTACGCAAGAAACCATCAGGCAGGAAATAAGGACACGAAAAACAGGTTTCTGCAGTGGTAAAGCAGAGCTGGTTTGATGGCTGACGCAGGATGACGTGAGCTCATGAGGAGGAACGTGTAGATGCATCTGAGTCACCTTCCTCCCGGCATCATCAGCCTTTGTTCGAACATCAAATAGTCATTTTGCAGTTGTTTCTACTGCTAAAATTCTTCGTCTGCGGAGATCCGGGCACATCTCATGGGCAAATGGTATCAGCTGGGTTTGCGATGCTGCTGGGTAAAGCACAGTCCTCACCACCCTCCAGGTGGGGCATTTGGCTTGCCCAGGTGATGCTGCTAATGAAAATGTAGGGAGAATGGATATAAAGAGTGGATAGAAGTGTTCCCCCAGCAGTATGGCTTTGTGAGGTGCTGGTATGGGGTTTCTGGTTTCCTGTATGGTTAATTTTACTTGTAGAGAAACTCTTTGCTGTTCTTTTCCCCCTCATCTCCAGGTACCCTTCAGAGTGTTTTGTGGTTTTCTGAGTGCAGTTCTAGAGCTAAGGATCCATCCCTGTCTGTGGGAGGGTAGTGAAGTTCAAGGTGATGGCCTGGCCTACCTAATGCCATGGGAGAGCTTGGGCTTCTCAGCCTTCCCTGCAAAGCCCACTAGCAACGTGGTCCTTTAGCAGCACTTGCTGCCCCAGAGAGGAGTTTCCCAAAGGGTCCTTGGGCTTAGAGCAGTTCTTTGTTTGTTTTGTTGCCAGCTTCTTCCATGGCTTTTTTTGTATGTCACCTTGGGGAGGTGCTGCCTTGGAGAAATGTGATGTGCTGGGAAGAGAAAAGGCTGTGGTGTGGCTGGGTAAGTGTTTGCTTTCCCTTCTCCTCACCTTCCCTGCCTCAGGCTTGCCCACAATGCTATAGCGTGCAGCACCAGTTCTACCCCTGAGCACCTCCTCCTGTGTAAGAGGAGTCTTGATAAACCTGCTCTATGATCATGTTGGGCCAGCAGCAAAAACTTGCTAGGAGGGTGGCTGTGGAGAGGTGGGAAGGGTGTGGATGGAGCATTAAGAATTCCTTTGTCTTGGTGCAGATATTCCTGAAAAAGGAGGGGGGCTCATACAGATTGGCTGGATTAGGCTGAATGCAGAAGGCAGTGGGGAAGCTAGAAGCCCTTTGGAATAGTCATTAGGGTAAAAACCTCAATTTAGTTGTTGAAATGTGGAGAATTTGCATGGGCAGCCTCAAATAACATGGTCATTATGGTCTGGGCTGAATTGGGTGGATAAAGTGCAAAGCAGGTGGTGTGGCAAGGTGGAGGATCCCATGCTTATTTGTCCCACTGCAGTAATGATGGACAGGATGAAATGCAGTTTTCCGTGCTTCACTTACTCCTGTGTCTTCTGAATGCTCTAAGTAGATGCACAGCAAGCAGCTGCAGAGCAGAGCGTGCTCCTACCTGCCAGCAGCAGCAGATTTGTGAAGTTAGTGCCTTACGAATGCCAAATTACCCTGAACCAGGAGAATCTGCAGCAGATACAGAGCAGCATAGAGCAGAAATAAGGCTGTGAAGCTCAGGGGTGAACAAACAGTAATAACTGTTGAATAGAGTCTGAATCATTCTCCAGCTCACTGCTTAAATCTTGGTTTTCCTAAGGTATTGTCTGCAGGTATTGCCACTGGTGACAGTGTAATGGGATGTGTGTGGTGGGAAGGTTGCATTCCTGAAGGCTCCATTTTATCTCTTCGATCAAAAACATGATTCCAAAGGAAAAGTTAATTGGAACAACACAGTTTGTGCTATTCTGCTTGCAAACCATGACTCACATCAAGAGCTATCTCCTGCGGTCACTTTAAGGCATGCACTGTGTTAAGCAGACTGGGTTATAGTACTGACTCTGCAAAGAAGGGAGCTTGACAAAGGGTTTTCATCATGAAATGAATATTTCATCGCTGCTTAAGAGATCTGGTGAAGAGAGAAATGTAATAATCTGAGGTATCAACTGTCCGTCTCTGCTGGCAATGTGACTCATGCCTCTCGCTTGTGATACCTTCCCTCATTGCTCCTCCTCTCAGGAGGAAGAGAATGTATGTAATGTTTTACTTTGGACAGCCCAGTTTTTCTCTAGGTTTGAAGAGGCTGTTTCTGGAGCCTGTCTTGCTGCCCTCTCATTTATTATGAGGTAAAAGCTAAAAACATCACGGTCACATCCCCATTGCCTTGGGATCCCTAATGCTTGTGTATGGATAGAAACAGTGGCAGATGGGGCACGTTTCTATCATACTGCCTCAGAGTTGCTCTTGCAGCTGAAGACTGCAGGGAATGGATAGGTTTTGCAGTGCTTAACTGCTTATAAAGCCTAATGCTCCCCAAAACGGCACATCTCTTGCTTTGGGCAGGCTTGGGGTGGCACAAAGCTGGCAGTGCCACCTCCAGCTCTTGGAAGTACGTAACAGCTGAGTCCATAAGTGATCTTTCTCTGCTGGCTCGGGAAAATGAACTAGCATCTAGTTGAAAAGCTGGGAATGATCCAGAGACAAGGCTGTCGATAGCCTTCCTTAGCCAGCTGCTTTCCAAAAACCAGTTGCAGGGATATCTCATGTGGGTGCTTTGGCTGATAACAAGGTTGTTTCTTTCCCAGTATTTTCATTCTGGTGTCATTTCAGACTCTTCCTCCATCTTGCTGTTTGTAGCTGAATTTCTAGCTCAGGATCATAGAGAAGCAGATTTTGAGCCCCCAAGATGGTACCTAATGAGGCAGGTTTGCTCTAGCAAAGTCAATCATCCAAGCAAAGCATCTTCCTTCCTTGACCTAACCATAAATGAACAGCCAGCACTCACTAGACCTAAAAGAAGATTATCTTGTGTTGGCTCCTACTAGATGCCAAACTGAATTGAACTGCTTGGCAGCGTTATGCTCCGGGGATGCACGCTGGTCTCATTTCTTGAGCCCTCAGCCCCTCGGGCTGTTTGGTCTGGCAAACCTTAAGCTAATCCTACAAATATCCTTGCATTTTAACAAGCAAAGTATGTGGCATTGAGATGGAAATTTAATGAGAGGAGGCTGAGGAGCAACGCTGACAAAGCAGTGACCTTTCCTCTGTGGCAAGTCCGACCGGGTCCATCCTGAGGTGCTGAGATTAATGAACACGTTGGTTCCAGCCAAGAGAAAATGGGTGTTATATATCGTAGTGCTATTTTATTGGGATGCAGATTTCATAGCACTGAACTCTTTGCTCAAGAGAAGCCTTGAGCTGAGCCAGCACAAAGAATTATCATTGAATTATCTACAATTCCTACTGCAAGCATGCTCCAGGGTCAGGGCTGGAGCAATCTGTTTGAGTGTGGGGTTGCCCATTTGATATGATTGAGCAAATAACTCATTGAAGAGGAGTAGAGGTTTGCTGTATGTATTTCAGTTTGCAACATGAAGTAATCTGCATGCATTTCCGCCAAAAGAAAGAGATATCTTCTTTACTAGCATAGCTTTATTACCAGGAATTCCGAGTCATCCTTGTCCAGAACACTCAAATCTTTCCAATTATAAGACCCTTTTACCGTTGTTATGAAGTGCCAAGGTTTAGCCCTTTGGCCTGCAATTCTGGCCAGTTTTGTGTTTTAAAGGCTGACTTTTTGTCTGCTAAATCATCTGACCAAGCATGCTGTAACCTACGAAGCAGAAGATCTCTGTAAAGTTTATTTGATGCTCATATTTGTTGCAATGACAAATAGTTCTGAACTGGGAAATTAGAGCAGGGGATAGCTCTGGTGGTTTCAGAGCTTCCTTGGTGGCAGTCGGCTCCCTGCAAGAGGAAGCAATGCCCTCAGCAAACAAGGGTTGGGTGGAGAGGGGCACTGCATGGCAAAAATAATTAAAAATGCTATATATATATATTTAAATACCAGTCTGGGACGTGATTCAGAGCAGCCCTGTGGGGAAGGACTTGGGGGTGTTGGTTGATGAGAAAATGAACATGAGCTGGCTTCAGTGTGAGCTTGCAGCCCAGAAAGCAACCGTATCCTGGGCTGCATCAAAAGGAGCGTGACCAGCAGGTCGAAGGAGGTGATCCTGCCCCTCTACTCTGCTCTCGTGAGACCTCACCTGGAGTATTGTGTGCAGTTCTGGTGTCCTCAACATAAAAAGGACATGGAACTGTTGGAACAAGTCCAGAGGAGGCCACGAGGATGATCAGGGGACTGGAGCACCTCCTGTATGAAGACAGGCTGAGGAAGTTGGGGCTGTTCAGCCTGGAGAAGAGAAGGCTGCATGGAGACCTCCTAGCAGCTTCCAGTATCTGAAGGGGGCCTATAGAGATGCTGGGGAGGGACTCCTCAGCAGGGACTGTAGTGATAGGACAAGGGGCAATAGGTTAAAACTTAAACAGGGGATGTTCAGGTTGGATATAAGGAAGTTCTTTACTGTGAGGGTGGTGAGGCACTGGAATGGGTTGCCCATGGAAGTTGTGAATGCTCCATCCCTGGCAGTGTTCAAGGCCAGGTTGGACAGAGCCTTGGTCTAATCTGAGGTGTCCCTGCCCACGGCAGGGGGTGGGAACTGGATGATTTTAAGATCCCTTCCAACTCAAGCTATTCCATGATTCTGTGAATAGAACCATGGGTCGACACTGTTGAAGGGACAATACTGAAAACAAGATACAAGTGTGAGATTGGGGTAAGGAGGCAAGGTATGGTGCTGCAAGTAAAGGGGTGAAGGGGGAAAGAAATGTAAAAACTGGTTTCCATGCACTTAGTCTGGAAAACTAGTACAGGGACAAAAATGCTGGAGTGCCTGGGATAGAAAGGTGTTTACCAGAATCGACTCAGTAGCTTAGCCTATCTGTTCTCAGCTGTAATTGCTGTAACTCCATCAACAATCTGGCCTTGGCTCCTGTTGTTCCTGCCTTCTTGTGGCCATTCAATGGCAGTTGGGATTAACTCTTTAAAACCAAAACCTAAGTCTCTGAAACAAACTTAATGCATATGGAATGTTGGCTTTTCAAGCCTACTAATATTTTAAAAGGAAATTAAAATGGAGACACTGCTGTTCTGGCACTGACTGCCATCCCTTGGGCATCCATACCAGAAAGGAGGTGAGCCCTTGTCAAGGTCCTGTCCTCTTAGGACAGACGCTCTTAGGAGTTAAGATTAGCCTTTATTTACTGCAGACTACTCAGACCTTATTGGAAGATGGCAAGAGATCAGACAAGAGGATCAGAATGGTCCCCTTATTTGTCTTCCTGTGTGAGTAGAGAGTAATTATCTCCTCCATAAGCTGATCTTGGCTTTAGACTGGGTTTGGTAACAAGTAAATGGCCAAAGCGTCAAAGTTAATGATATTACTAATGCATTAAAGAAATAAAACTGCTCAGCACAGGGTCAGGTGAAGTCAGTCCTGTGTGTCCTGGTGGATGGGGAGGGAGGGAAGGTGGAGGTGGTGGTGCCCTGGCACACACTCATCCGGGCAATGCCCAGCCACGGTAATTGCTTCAGTATTTCTGAAAGGCACCAAAGCGCCTTGCACATGGCCTCATGTTCTCAACGCCTAATTAAGCGCAGGGTCCACGGTTTGCAGAGATGATCTATGGGTCTGCATGCATCGCACCATGTGTCCATTTTATTTTAGCAAGTTTTAGTTCCATAAATTAAGTCTCTCGAGTTTTATAGTTGTTTGGTGCAGCAGGCGTCTGTGGCAGGAGCCGGGGGGGGTGGTTTTGGCTCTCACAAAGATTAATCTGCTCTTTTAAAGCGCTAATCCTTTCATCTAAGATGACGTGAGAATCCCAACCACCTTTCTATTACACCCCATTACCCACACACATCAATCTAACCAGGAAAAATTGGCTTCCAGCAGCTAGGAGTGATTCATTTTTGATGCAAGCAGAGTCCACGCAGGTTTGACATGAGGTTTTCAGCAAGGTAACAGGAATTAAAGGGCACATCTTAAGCCGATGAGACATTCGGATATCAGGATTCTTCATGTTACAGTGTAAATAGTCCCTTACCACTCCATTAAATGAGAGGCTTTCAGGGTATGCAGCTATTGTTAATGACTGCCTCCTAATCCTGACTTTCACCATGTGCTAATTCAAGGTCTCGCAGTGCTTTTGGCAGAACACAACTATTTGCAAGTTAAGACTGCGCACGGGAAGGAATGATAGGCTGAAATGGGAAATGAGAGGCCAGTGAGTGCAATGAATCCTTGCTGTCAGTGCTGCTTATTTATCCCACTCGAAGATAAAGCTGCTGCAGAGGGGGAGGAGGGAAGAGTAATCCTTTCTCAGCTTTAATGAGAAAGGAAGAACAGATAGATGCTAACAGATAGAAACATCTCCACTACTGACACAAAGCCGAGCCCAGAAGACGCTGATTTTTGGAGAGATGTTGAACTGCCCCTATGAAGGCTTAATTTTAGGCACTATCAGCACTACCCAGTCAGGTTTTCTTTCTGTGAAGAAAGCAATTATGTAAAAGACAGTTAAACCCAGCAAATATTTGCAGTGCTGTAATGCCTTGGGTGGTGCTGTGACAGAAACAGTGAAACATGGGAAGAAAGCTGGTAAACAGCATCCATTTAAGCTCGCAATGAAAGAAAAATCTTTATTTGATGCTTGGGAGGGTTTCATGCAGATGGTCAGAACTGTCAGCTTGTCTTGAGGGTATTCTCTGCCATACAATGATGATTGTGGGGTGCTTCCTCCTGCAGGAAGGTGGGATGACTTTATCCTCTCATTGTGCTATGCAGCAGCACCACTTTTCACCCTTCACCAAACCCAGCTCTTGGTGGGGTGTGATGTTAGGGCTGCAGAGCTCTGGCTCCAGAGGGGACCTCCCTGGTGACAGCAGTGCCGGGTGGGATGCTCCTGAGCGCTGGGCTTTGCAGGGATGTGTAAGAAACCCCTTTCTCCTGAGCCCTGTTACTGGTTGAGAGGTTTTATTTGGATCTTGTCAGTTAGTTTCTGTGCTTCGTGTATTTTAATTACTCAGATGATAAAGCAAAGCTTTTATGGTGTTCTAATATGACAGCTAAAAGCCCTGTTTTAATGCAGAGATAATAGCAATTTGCCAGTCCAGTTGCTGTGGTCCATCTTGGGGCTTGTGTCGATGTGCCTGTGAGGTGTTTTGTTGCCTGTTGCTGGCAGAGAGACCCTGTCCTTTCCTGGGCATTTAATAGAAGCAGAGGCAAAAGAGCTCAGAGATGAAGGTCCTCTTTCATGGATACCAAAGGAAAGGGAATCTTCTGGCTACATCTGCAAAACACCAGATTGCTGAGGATGAAAATGGATGATGATGATGATGATGATTGATGAACGCTGAAGATGCAAAACCAATCTCTTTCTGTGCTTTGAACAGCAAGGAGGTATCCTGGCTGTACTTGCAAAATGCTAGCTCATCAAGTGCAGAAATGAAGCTTATTCAGGCATCAGTGTGTGAGAGAAAGTGGTACTAATGCTAAGCATTGCCACTCACTGCTGTTTTGTTTTGGAGGGCTTATATTCAGTGTTTCTACTAAAACATCAGTTCAGCCCAGCTTGCCTGAAGCCTGCAAATCCTGATGGATATACAGCCCCCTCTTCAGCTGTTCACTGGCTCTACCAGTGGCCAGACTGCTTATTCCTCCTCAGTCACACTGGGGAGGCACAAAACCTACCTTTGTCTATATGGTAACGTGGGGAGGTGGGTAGAGATTGCACTCATGGCTTTTTTCCCACCACAAGATGCAGAAACGTCCTCTCATGAGCTCCATAAATGGCAAATAGTTGAGGCTGGAGGAGTATCTGCAAGAAGTATAGATCTATGTTTACTCTAGTCTTATACCTTTCCCCAGGGGGGATCTGCTTTTGGCTTTGTTAGAGATTGGTATGCAGGGTTACGTGGATGCTTAAACAGCTTCAGCTCTCAAAGTCCTTGGAAAGTATCTGCTTTGGGTTTTGGTAAGGATCTGCAGGGCTCTTTCTGCCTTGCCCCAGCTCTGAGCTCTCCATCCTTCCAGAGCAGCCTCAACTGCTGTTTTAAAGTAAGCCTTGCTGATCAGGAACAGACCTAATGCCTTGTTTGTTCACTACTGACAAAACAACTGCACATAAATGCTCAAATCCCTCTGTAAACAGTTCCTTACTGAGATCTTGTACCTCAGGTTTTGGCTGTGGGGGAAAGGGTATGTAAAAATCCAGTAGCTCTGAAGC